ATATTGAAAAACGAATCTATGGGAATATGATAGTATTGTGTTTTTCTTCTCATTATGATGATAATGTTTAAATTAATGTTCTAGTGAAAATACTTATAGTTCTCCAATTAGATTAGTTTCATCATTAATAATTTTTCTCCTTCTTGGAGGGAATGAAACCAAAACATATCTTTGTTCGTGTGTAGCCCTAATCTGATCATCACGAAATGCTTGAGTTGTATCTTCCGTACGTACATACACATATTTTCTAAAATGGGTACTTTAAAAACTTTAGATTAAGAAGGAAAAATGGCACAAAAGTTGGAAGCACAAGGTGGTCGTGGAGGAGAGGAATGGGACGATGGTGGTGCTTATGAAACCGTCAAGAAAGTTTATGTAGGTCAAGGTGATTCTGGTGTGGTTTACGTTAAGTTCGATTACGAGAAAGACGGCAAAATCGTATCACTGGAACATGGAAAGAAGACACTACTTGGAACAGAAGAGGTAAACAATTTCCATATTTTTTTTTTTTGTTAAATGTGTTCGAACGAAATATCAAAGATTCAAGATGTTTTTTTGTCGTTGTTGCTAGTTTGTGCTTGATCCAGAAGATTACATAACATCAGTGAAAGTTTACTACGAGAAGATCTTTGGATCACCAACAGAGATCATCACGGCTCTTGTATTCAAGACATTCAAAGGCAAAACTTCTCAGCCTTTTGGATTAACTTCCGGTGAAGAAGCTGAGCTAGGAGGTGGCAAAATCGTTGGATTCCATGGAAGTTCAAGCGATGCTATCCATTCTCTAGGAGCTTACATAACTAAGTCATCCACTCCGGTGACTCCACCGGTGTCAGGTGGTCCGACCAAATTGGAAGCTCAAGGTGGTCGTGGAGGAGAGCTATGGGACGATGGTGGTGTTTACGAGAATGTAAAGAAAGTGTATGTTGGACAAGGTGACTCTGGTGTGGTTTATGTCAAGTTTGATTACGAGAAAGATGGGAAAATTGTATCACTTGAACATGGGAAGCAGTCACTTCTTGGAACAGAGGAGGTACATGGAAGTTTGTTTTCTCGAAATTGCTCTAAATTAAAGGGTATTTTGTTGTTGTTGGATCTAATCGAGAAATGGTTGATTGGTTTTGCAGTTTGAACTTGATTCAGACGATTACATCACATCTGTGACAGTTTACTACGAGAAAATTTTCGGGTCACCGACCGAGATCATCACAGCTCTTGTCTTCAAGACATTCAAGGGCAAAACTTCTCAACCATTTGGAATGGCCTCTGGTCAAGAATCTGAGCTAGGAGGCGGAAAAATCGTCGGTTTCCATGGAAGTTCAAGCGATGTCATCCATTCTCTTGGTGTTTATATTGCTCCTTCGTCCACACCATTGACTCCTTCCTCCACGATTCCAGCACAAGGCGGTGATGCTGGAGTTGTGTGGGACGATGGTGCTCACGACGATGTGAAGAAGATTTATGTAGGACAAGGTGACTCTTGTGTGACTTATTTCAAGGTTGAGTATGAAAAGGCTTCAAAGCCTGTCCTTGGAAGCGATCATGGGAAGAAGTCAATACTTGGAGCAGAGGAGGTTGTTTTCTTGAACTATTAAATTTTGTCTTCCTTTAAAGTTCAATTTTATAATCTAAAGTCTTGAATTTTGAAATGGTTGCAAAATTTGCAGTTTGTGCTTGGACCAGATGAATATGTTACGGCCGTGACGGGCTACTATGACAAAATTTATGGAGTAGACTCACCGGTTATCATCTCACTTAAGTTCAAGACAAACAAGAGAGAGTCTATCCCGTTTGGAATGGAGGCCGGAAATAAATTTGTGCTCGAGAAGAAAGACCACAAAATCGTTGGGTTCCATGGACAAGTTGGTGACTTTCTTTACAAAATCGGAGTCAATGTCGCGCCCATAGCAAACTGATGCGGGAACCAATCTGATAATGCCGGGAGTTTGAATAAGATTGTTTTGTGAGTTTATGGTCTTGTGTGATCTAATGTTGTTTTCGGTTTGTCTCAAGGATAATATGTATGTGTGTTACTTCTTGTCTATCTAAATAAGGGATGATGTTTCTTCATTGTGATTTTGTTTCATAGGGAACCGGGGAAATAATGTGAACAAACTCCTTTATTAAAAATGGATCACAAATCCATATCAAAGACAGAACAAAACACACGAAGAGAATACTTGAAATACTGAAGCAGTAAACAAACAAAAACCATAGAAAAAAAGTAGAATCAGCTTATTCAAAGTTCACAAACCATTAAGAGAGCGACAACAAAATGTGACAAATTCAAGATCTCCATGATCAGTTGGTAATGGGTAGGACATGGACTCCAAATTTATTAAGCAGATTACCGACGCTTCCATGGAACCCAACAATCTTGTGGCCTTCCTTTTTGAATACGAAGGGTGTGCCAGCTTCAAGTCCATAAGGAATAGATGTTTTNTTGTTAGTCTTGAACCTAAGCATATTTATGACCGTGCCATCACTCCCAAATATCTTATCAAAGGTGCCGTCCACTTGCGTGATGTATTCACTTGGATAGTCAATCACAAACTGCAATTAAAGAGAACCAAAATTGAAATTGGTTTCAGAAGAAAGAAAGAAATAAACCCATTTGGTTAAATGACAAAAGAGAAAACAANAACTAAATAAGTGTACCTCTTCGTAATCAAGCAATGTGGGTTCTCCATGTTCATCTCCAAATACAACTTGAGCTCCTTTGTTGTACTCAAACTTAACGGCNGATATACCACTATCGGCTTGACCTACATANACTTTCTTAACACCATCGTACGCACCATCATCCCATGAAGTTCCTCCATCACTACCAACTCCTTCTAGCTTCTGGCTTGGCGTTGCAGGAATTATAGGTATAGTGCCTATTGGAGCTAAATAAGCTCCAAGAGCATTAATATTCTCACCAGCTCGTCCGTGGAACCCGACAATCTTGTAACCTTCCTCCTTTAATACAAAACGTGTGCTACCTTCAAGCCCATACGGCCCCCATGTTTTGTCCTTGCTAGTCTTGAAAATAAGCATTGTCATTATAGCACTGTCATTCCCATAGATTTTATCGTAGGTTCCTTCCACGGATGTTATGTATTCATCTGATGCAAGCTCAAACTGCACAAGAGGAAAATATAAAGAAATATTTTAAACTAGTACCACATAACTATAGAAGGGAAACCAATAACCTGTTTTTCTTTAAAATTACCCCTTCAAATCCTAGCGGTGTGGACTTCCCACGTTCAACTCCAATAACCACTTGAGGACCATTTGTGTATTCAAACATGACAGCTGCTACACCACTGTCGCCTTGTCCTACAGATACCTTCTTAACATTGTCGTGACTACCATCGTCCCACACAGTTCCTTCACCACCCTCTGCTTTCAGTTTCTTCGGAGGAACAGAAGGAGTGGTGCTGACTAATGGAACGAAATAAGCTCCAATGGAATTAAGATGGTTACTAGCGGATCCATGAAATCCAATGATCTTTTTTTCTTGAACCTGTAGAGTAAACTCCGTACCATCACCATCTAATTCATAACCAAAGTTCTCAGATGTTGTCTTGTTGGTTTTGAATTGGATTCCTTGAATGACATTGGAGGAATCATACCAACCCTTGACGGAGATTAGATATTCGTCAGGATGGATAATCACAATCTGTATCAAAATTTCACACAATATTAGCAAATATTTAATGAACAATCCAAATGAAACACTAAAGGGAAGCTATTAGCTTACGTTTTTATCTGAACCTCTACTACCCTGCACACCGTGCATGGCTCCTGTGATTGGCTGTCGAGCGTTCACATAGTCGAACTTAACGTATTGAATGCCTAGTGCACCTTGTCTTATGTATATCTTCGTCACACCGTCGTGATCAGATCCGTCGTCCCATGCGATTCCTCCGGTGCCACCTTGTGCATCCAATTTCTGAGCCCCTGAACTTGTTCCGCCGGTTCCACCGGTTCCTCCGGTGCCGCCAGTTCCTCCAGTGCCGCCGGTCCCTCCGGTGCTGCCGGTGCCTCCGCCGCCAGTTTCTCCGGTGCTTCCACCAGTTTCTCCGGTGCCGCCAGTTCCGGTGGGTACAGGAGCGTAGTGAACGTCGATGGAGTTGAGGATATTGCTGCTAGAACCAAGGAAACCGGCAATCTGTTTACCGGTGGCCTCAGGAGCAGAAATCTGGTAACCGGATTTGTTTCCGTACGGACCGTAAGTCTTCTTGTTGGTCGTAAAAGCCAGAAACGTAATAGCTTCTTGCGAGCCCAACGTTTTGCCGTAAGCATTAACAGCCGTTATGTACTCGTCAGAAGCCAAAGTGAACTGATGATTATATATGAAATAAAATGAAAAATCTCAATCTAAGATTATACTTATACATAAATTGTTACTATTATTAATAGGATTGTAAAAAAAAAAAAAAGAGACTAACCTCGGCAGGTTTGGGGCCAATGGAGCCACGAAGCTGGGATTGAAGGTTGGATCCTTCGTACGTGACTTTGATTGAGTAGATGATTTCATCGTACGTAAGCTCTACTTTCTTCACCTTGGCGTGTGTTCCATCGTCCCAAGACATATTTCTTCGCTTCTATGATCTTTAATAATCAACCAAACATATTTAAATTAGTTTTTTTTTTTTTTAATTCAATTTTCTCAACCATTTTTGTATAGTTAGTAGGCTAGTAAATTTATTAACAGCTGCGTAGTGTATTCACGAAAGTCAAAAGTTCATAAATCCGATTCCAATTCTTTTTTTTTGTTTTGGCAAATTCCAAATCCGATTCCAATTCTATAACTTATTTGTTGAAAACCGATTAACATGCACCGATCTGGTTTTATGGTTAAGTGCTTTTATACTATATACCTAATGATAACAATCTAGAGCATAATTGGAAGATCAAAAGTCAGATTGATTATGAAACAATAGGTCCTTACTTTAACCAAACAAAAAAATTGAGATAGGAAAAAATCAATTGATTGATCGATTTTCAGAAAGTAGATAGGTGCTAGGT